GAGTTGATTTTTACACGGGTATATATCTCCGGGCGAACTTGAACTCCTCTTGATGAATTGCAAAAATCTTGAAAGTTTGGGTGTGCATTACGCAACAGAGTTAACAACTTTGGAAATTAGGGGTCCATCTCTTGCATTACAACACTTGGAAATTTCCTATTGTCCCTTGGAAACCCTTACTATAAGCAGTGTTAATCTTATTTCCCTTAAGATTGATCGGCCAGAAGCACTAGTGCTTAAGAATGTTTCCCAGATCACTCATTTTGGGATCTCCTCTACTTGTTACGTCATTGAGGATATTGTTCGTCGACTTTCATGCTGCTTTTCAAAGCTTGAGGTTCTTTCTTTAGTAATGGGTCCTTCGGTGGTTAGAGAGGTATGAATCTAGCTGATTGTGTTACTGGAGTAATTTTCTTTCCCTAGTTTTGCTCTATGATGATTTCTAAGTTCTATTTAATTATTTTTGCTGCATCCTATGTTGAGCAATTTTTTTTTTCACCCAGTATGATTGGAAAAAACTACCTCAGCTATCTGCACTGAAGCAGCTATCTCTAATGCTTGTATTAACTTCTAAAGAGAGCATGTTTGGATGTACTTCGTTCTTTAGGGCATCACCAAACCTGGAGAAGTTTGTAATACAGGTAATAGATATTTATATTTGATGTTCCTTTTCTGGCTTTAGACCCCTCAGTGTAGTTATTATTCTTTTATGTTTGATTTTTTTTTCCTCTGTACTTTCACCCTTCTAAGATCTTGTTCTGGTAATTTTGTGGTACCATTGAAGTGAACTGGTTTGTCACCTTATGCTTGCTAAGTGACCATGTTATGTTTCTACAGCTAGGTTACCCATTGCAAATAAGGGCCAGCAGAGAGTCGGAGAATGTTGTAAATTACCCTGTTCGACATCTTAGGGTGGTTGAGATATCTCAATTTCGAGGCCGTTCAATCGAACTCGAACTAATCAAGTACTTCCTTGAAAATGCAAGTTCCCTCCAGAAAATAACTGTTGATCCACATTACAAGCTGTTTGGATCTTTGGAATATATGGATCTATTCTCCAGCCCTCAGTTACGCAGTCGGGCAGCTGAGGTGACAAATGAGGCCAGAAGGTGTGCTGAGCAGCTCTTAGGAGGGATGCCTTCACATGTAACATTACAAATACTCTAGCTATGAACATGGGCATGATGGTCTGGTCTCGGAAGGAACTAAGCTTATCAAAATAAGCTTTGATTTCAATGTTAAGCTAAGCTCTGGGAATATCTGAAAATAGCACTGAAATGTTTGATTCAAATCTTTTACTACTGAAATGTCGTAACTATGCTTTTGTTGCTGCTGTGTAATAAGACTCCCACGGATAATCAACTCAAATTGTTTTTGCCAGATTTTTTAACAATCAAACTTGATTAAGTGCAGTGTGTCAAACTTTCTTGATGTTAGATACTTTTCCTGTCCGAGAAAAATTGTTTATTTTGTCAATAGAATTGATCGTGCTTTTCGGATGTAGTAATATTATGTTCATAACGAAAGATGTAGCTGAAATCGATTATAATATTAGATCTAAAACATGAATACGTAGTTGCTACTCTCGCCCTACTTCAATAGTTATCCTCGTTGTTTTGTTTCATAATAAGTCAATCTATCACAGGCGTTTAATCCAAAATCAAAGTATACTTGTCTTCGCATAATCTTGAAAAAGGTCCTTCTCTTGCATTTTCTTTCTCTTACATTTGTTTCGCAATTTTCTTTCTCTAAAAAGGTCCTCTCTTCCACTTTTTTTTCCCCAAAAATGCATATTTCTCCCTCTAAAAATAATTATCCAATTTTGAATATTTTTGTTCCCATGTTGCTGTTTATGCCAAAATTAATAAACAAATAGACCTTGGTACCAAAAACGAAACAAATGATTATCGATTATTAGTGGTCGAAAAATAGAACAAAACTTTCAGATTATTTCCATACATTTAGTCCAATTCAAATATTGGAACCGGTTGAAGGTTTACTCTCGAAGAATAGTACTCCCTCCGTCCAGAATAGTTTTCTTTTTTTATATATTAAGGGATCTTGAAATGGTGTGAGCATGACTTTAACAGAGTTATGAAATTATTTATGTGGATATCGCATTATCTAGTTCTGTAACCAAAATTTCTCCCTTTAGTGAACATTAATTGTATCCTCATAACAAACCAAACCAAAAATACTCGCAATCGCGGTACAATGCATTGTAGGTCTTGTAACCTTCAAATAGCATGAGAGATTATTTACCCTGTTGTTTCACTCAGCCAAAGGATCTTTAAAGGAATTCCCGTGGAACAGTTTTGTTATATTTTCTGAAGTTAAATCTGGTAAAAGCCACAAATAAGTTCGTGATGTTATTATGTACTCAGAAATACTCCTAGGTCTCATCCAAAAGCAATTCAGAAAGCCGTATAAATTTCAAAAGCTTCAGAACATCTTGTTGGGGCTGTACTTGGAATCCATTAAGCTGCATTGTACATTCTGCATGTACTAATCTTTAGGCACTTTTGCTGGTATCTCTACCATCCAAAGATCAATTAACAGGCAGTTCCATCAATCGATTTATTGGTGATCCTAATGAGTCTAGCTATTATTTTCTCCATGGCCTTTTTCCATTTTGGTGCTGCAAAGGAAAGAATGAGTAACAGAAATAGACCATACATGACAAGCATAAAAGAAGCAACATTAGTGTGCTATATTGCGAAACCAGATGACAACCCCCAAGCTACATGAATTCTCGTTGTGATCAAAGGAGCAAAGAAAACCTCTATAACAGTAGAGCTGGAATTACTCAGAAAGTCGAACAGAGACAATGCTTAAAACAAAATATTTGGTAATGGGTAATCCAGTAGAGAGGTATTTTTAATCAGACTAAACCATAGAAAACGTCCCGTACATTTGGCCAAAAAATCATTTTCGTCCCGTACACTTCAAAATGTTCATTTTCGTCCCATTTCGTCCGTATTTTTCGATTATTTACGTCCCAAGTCAATTTTCCGTCCACTTGACCGTCAAAATGGGGGGCATTTTCGTTTTAACCCCATTTTTCTGATTTTCCAAGAATTAAGAAATTAAATAATAATTAAATAAATTAATTAAAATATTATTATATTTATGATTATAAAAGAAAGAAAAATAAAATTCTATGCTTTAGACCGGGTGGGCCCAGTAATTTAATGTTTCTACAGTTATCTTCAGTAAAACCGTAATCATATTAAATAATAAAAATATTCAAAATTAAAGAATTTCCAAATTTAGAAAATTTGGCTGCATTTAACTTGTGGGCCGGTAGAGATTAGAAGACATGATTATTCCTGGTCTCCAAATTGAAAATTTTTTTTTTACTTGCTAAGAAGCAATTGGCGAGATGTTTTTAGCCAAAAAAGAAAAGAAATTTATCATAATATTCTGTTTAAGTGACATCCGATAAATTCTTCAGAATTTATAATTTTGGGAAAGAAGGCTCAACAGCTTTTCGATCAGTTGAATTGCATCTTCTGTTTGTTTGTATTGATTTGTTGAAATTGTTGCCGGAAAAGAAGTGAAAAAAAAAAACACAAAATCCATGATAATCCCATTAAGATATCTACTTGAACTAAATTCATACATCAACAAAATCCATAATAATCCCATTAAGAAGATTGGCCAGAACAGAACAAACGAATTGCAGATTCTAACAAGTAAAAATGTCCAAATCTCCAGAATCCCTAATTCCCCAACTAAAGAAACCCTTACCGCCGAACCCATAGAGAGTAAGGCCTTGCCTCTTGAGAGCATACACCCGTGGAGAATACCTCTTGAGAGAAACCCAAATCTCTCTTCCCTTCGACCCCCTTCGCCTCCGGCAAATTCAGTCCATATCAAAATTTGACCACATAGGAGGTACAATCCCAATACAATGAACTAATCGACACAAATAAAAAAGATCCAGTCCATATCAAATTAAAAATAAAAAGTATATCCGATGGGTGCTCCTTATTCTTGAATTCCCAGGCAAAATCCTCAACAAACGAGCATCGTCGTATGCTCGGATGCCCGATTAGAACAAGATGGCGTTGTTGCTTATAAATCCTGGGAAGAAGAAGAAGAATGGATATGATGACGGTGGGGATGGCCGCAATGGCTAACTTTGGGTTGTGGAAAGAGAGAGAATGGGAAAACGCGGTGGTCATAGCCTCAGAGGGAACACGATATTAAGGAAAAAACTACTATTAAATTAACTTTAGGATTACTGTAGCAACGTGGGTAAAAGGTTAAATGGAGTCAAATTTTTTTAAATTTCGAATTTTGGTTTCTTTATTATTTTAATATATTTACGATTTACTGTAGCTAATAATAAAAAATTATATCACTAGGCCCCAGCGGGTAAAAGATATAAAATTTAAAAATATTTTTAATTAATTTTATTATTATTTTATGTCTTAATTACTGAAAAATAAAAAAGGGCTTAAAGACGAAAATGTCCCCCATTTTGACGGTTAATTAGACGGAAAATTGACTTGGGACGTAAATAGTCGAAAAATATCGTTTTTTGGACAAAATGGGATGAAAATGAGAATTTTAAAATGTACGGGACGAAAATAATTTTTTGGCCAAATATACGAGACGTTTCTCGTAGTTTAGTCTTTTAATCATTGTTATCCACTTACATCTCTTTTCCATCACGGGCAAGGCAATTAGGGCGAAACTAAGCTTTCAACATACATCTTCGCTTCTTGAATAAAATCTACCTGATGATACCTCCTCAAAGTGTTGGTCTTTGGGTCACAAAGATACAAAGTTGAGCGCAAAACACACAATATTTCACCATTCTTTGATGTACAAACCGGTTGACTGAAGTAAGAAATAGGATCATCCCCATAACGAGCAGAAACTGAAAGAACTTTGATCCAAGAGTCCTTCCGTAACCATACATCTACATGAGTACCTCCATAATCATAGATAACATAAAGACAGCCTCCTATCTCTCCAAATCCATAGTCATATTAGCTATCGTTGTTCTTTGGGGGACGGTCCATGATCCCATACGTTTCATTCCCCAAATCGAAACTAGCAATCATCCAATCGTCAACTCCATCATTGGTAGACCAATAAAAGGTTCCACTCACATAATGCACCGGTTTGTCATACGCTGGAGTAATGACCTCCAAATCCTCAATCTTGCGCCAAGAACTAGTTTTAACACTGTACATATTGACTTTATTGTCCACAAATTCAACCACTTTATAGTCGTCATTCAAGGAATCATAACCAAATCCAAGAGTGTTACTTTTTCTGATTTCAGACCCAGGCAATTTCTTAAATTTCTTAGTACAAGGGTTACACAAAATCAACTCCCTATCCATATTAATCAAGCAGACAAGTCCGTTACAAGAATCTACCACCCAAAATAACTCATAAGGTTGTAATATATAATCGATATTAAATACCTCAGCAGCAGCGGTCGTTTCATCGAACACCTCATTCAGCAAAGAACTCGCAGAGTACAGCCGGTGTTGGAATCTATTGTCCGTGAACTCATACAAGATGAGACGGTGGTGGGAAAAATCATCACTTTCAGCTGAATCGGCGAGATGGGTTTTGATAAATCCTTGGCTTGAGATCAAAGAAAGCCATGGTTTTGAAACACACTTGAATTTCCCCAAGGATTTAGCTGGCAGTCTTGAAATGATTTCAATGGCGATTTCGTCGGGGAAATCGGGCATCAATAATTCGGGGTCTGATTCGAGATTAGGAGTAGAGGAAGAAGAGGGACAGTCCTCCATAAGCTGATTGATTTGGTTTCTATTTGGTGGGTCTGATTTGGATTCCATGGCTGCTTGGGACAGTCTGGAAATGGGTTGAATTTTCTCGCTTCTGTATTCTCACTATTGGGGAAGACTGCGAAGTAAACCCGGAAATGGATGTGCTTGAAAAGAGTAAAAGGAGTGTATATTTTTTAAAAAAAAAAAGCTAAAATGTTCAAACAGTCACTTCTGATTAGGCTCTACTCAATTTACGTCCCTTATATTAACATTTCAATATCGTAGTCCAGACATTATGTTTTCACACTTTTTAGTCCCATTTCACTGTTTCCGCCATTGACATGCCTAATCGGGGATATTTTGTCTTTTAATTTAATTTAAATTTTTATTAAAATTTAAATCATTAAAAATATTTTAAAATTCAAATTTCATTATTTAATTGTTAAAATATTATTTATAATTAAAAATATTATTGTACAATTTTAAAATTTCTCATTATTTTCAAAATTACTTTTTTTATTTACTATTTACTTTAAGTACACATTAAATAGTAATTATGTTGCACTTTTAATTTTGGGTCCACTGTAACTTAAAAAATTAACCAAGTTACAGTAAATAATTCAAAAATTCAATTATTTTTTTTTAAAAAAAGAAAAATAAAAAGAAAAACTTTTCTTTACTCTGACCGCTACAGTAAACCCTAAATGGTAATTATGTTACACTTTTAACATTGTACCCACTGCAACTTAAAAAATATACCGAGTTACAGTAAATAATTCAAATTTTTTTAAAAAAAAAGAGAAAACAAACCAAGATTTTTTTTACTTTGACCGCTACAGTAAACCCTAAATGGTAATTATAATACACTTTTAACCTTGGACTCACTGTGACTTAAAAAATTACCGAGTTATAGTAAATAATTCAAAATTCAATTTTTTTTTAAAAAAAAAAGGCAAAACAACGATTTATTTTACTCTGACCCCTATAGTAAACCCTAAATGGTAATTATGTCGCACTTTTAACCTTTGATCCACTGTAACTTAAAAAATTTACCGAGTTACAGTAAATAATTCAAAATTCAATTTTTTTTTCAAAAAAAAGGAAAATCGAGATTTTTTTTACTCTGACCGCTACGTTATTTTTTTAACGCTGGACCTACAATAACTTAAAAAATTGATCGAGTTACAGTAAATCATTCAAAATTAAAATTTTTTTTTTAAAAAAAAGAAAAAAGCAAAACAAAGTAATTGACCGCTACAGTAAACCCTTATGTTGCACTTTTAACCTTGGACCCAATGTAACTTAAAAAATTTGTCGAGTTACAGTTAATAATTCAAAATTCAACTGTAGCAGTCAAAGTAAAAAAAAGATCTTGGTTTTGTTTTTCTTTTTTTTTTTAAATGAATTTTAAATTATTTACTGTAACTCGGTAAATTTTTTAAGTTATAGTGGGTCCAAGGTTAAAAGTGCAACATAATTACCATTTAAGGTTTACTATAGCGGTCAGAGTAAGAGAAAAGTGGTTTGGCTTTTTCTCTTTTTTTAAATAAATTGAATTTTGAATTATTTACTGTAACTGGCTAAATTTTTTAAGTTACAGTGGTTCCAAGGTTAAAAGTACAATATAATTACTATTTACTTTGACCTAAAATAAATGATTAACGAAAAAATTAATTTTAAAAATAATGTAAATTTTAAAATTTTATAATAATATTTTTAATTAATAAATAATATTTTAACAATTAAATAATGAAATCTGAATTTTAAAATATTTTTAATGATTTAAATTTTTATTAAAATTTAAATTAAATTAAAAGAAAAAAATACCCCTGATTCCGAAATGTCAACAGTCGGAAATAGTGAAATGGGACCAAAAAAGTGCGAAAACATAATGTTTGGGACTACGATATTGAAATGTTAATGTAAGGGGCGTAAATTCAAATAGGCCCAAATGTAAGGGACCATTTGGACATTTTAGTCTTAAATATTTATTTTTGGGGAATTTTGTGTTTATCTATTGATTATTATACCCATTTTTAAATCGTTGAAATCATCGGGAGTCTCTCAGCCAATCAAAATATTAGTTTATCATTGGAATATAATTGGCACCGGTTCTTTTATAAGAATAGGGATAATAGGGATTATTAGTACAACGAAGGAGTCCAAAACCTAAGAAACTAAACTATTTTGTGAATGGGAACTTCTAACAAAGTCATGTTCTAACCACATAATTAAGATCAAGCCTAACAAGAAAGAATCAAACGCTTCTCTTCTGGGTTCAATGCAAGAGATGACCCTGAAATTTCACAAACTAATCTCTACTTAGTACTTTGTTAATAACTCATATGATCTCTTTATAAATACACAATACATCCTCTTAATCTTGTGACATCCATAATTCAAATAATGCCACCACGTCTAAACCATTCTTTTTAACTTACTTTGTGAATGAAATCCTAAATTTAAGAAAATAAAATGTTTGGTTATTTAATTTATTTTTACCTCTTACTCTCCGGCCATCACATGCTCACTAATATCCTATCCTAACTGCACTCTATAATATCTTACCCAAACATATAGAATATAAGAACATTACCAATTTTTTTTCTTTTTCTAGTGCAAAACATATTGCTACATGCTGTTTAAAAATCATATACATACATGTCTAAACCAAAATATATGTAAACCCGTAATCATTTATATAAAATACTCCCTCTGTCCTAAAATTATTGTCTAGTTTGAGATTTCACTTTTGGTACAATTTGAACTAAAAATGAAAATTCAAACTAGACAATAATTTTGGGACGAAAGGAGTAATAATTTACTCTCTTATTATATTATCGTAAAGCAAGATATTGAATTTTTGCTAACATAATGTTCATTTTAATCAAGTTATGGTCTAGCAAATAACGGGTTTGATTAGTATACAAGGAAGCAAAAAATGAAGGGGAAAAAAATGAAATAAATTCGGTTTTGTGTCAAATTATATCCGAGTAGTTTTAAGTTTTCTTTTTCATCATACACTATAAAGTAACACAGACGGTTGATTACACAGAGTAAGAAAACAGAGTGCGAGATATAACCACCATGGCGAATCAAGCCTTCTCTGATGTGCGCACTAAACAACCGTCGAAGATGGAATCGGCGGTCCAACTCCACCAGACAACTTCCTCCGGCAGCCGACTCCTCCACAACGGCTTCGCTAAAGTCCCACATTCAACTACTGGACTTACCGGGACTCTTCCTGCTCTGTTTCCGGGAAAGAATCGTTCCGATCAACTCTCAGATGGTTCTTTGGCGGATTCGTTGATCAAGAACCCATTGCCGGACGAAGACCACGGAGTGCAGCCGTCTAAGGAAACTCTTCACCGTACATACTCTGAACCCATTCCGGCAGTTGCAATCGCCGCCACCCCCAGGCCTCCCGGAGCTGCGAGAGAGGTTTCTTTTCCGGCTGGCCTTCCGAAAAGGCCTAATACTAAGGTTGTTTCTTGGTTCTTGAAGATAATGTAACTCTGTTAACTTTATATTTCTCTGATTTCGAACCAAAGTTCCTTCCTTTTTATCTTTACCCAATTTAATGGTCCAATTAACCTTGATTTTGTCAATGTTGCAGAGTTTTGGAAGATTGCCGGAAGAACTTATGAGAGAAATGGGTTGCCGGAGAAGCAATATACTCTGTGTTGATTCGGCGATTGGTGGTCAATTTCAGAGCTCGATCAAGAATTCCTTGCCCATTTCGACGCAGGCGTCTCCCAAACCTCTTTACAGTCTATGCTCCGAACCCACTCCGGCGGTTGCAAAGTCTGCCACTCCGGTAGTTTCTCGGTTCTTGATAATTACGTAGCAAAAACTGTCTCTGATTTTGAACCAAAGTTTTGCCCTTTCTGTTATGTGCTCAATTTAATCATCCAATCGATCTTGGTTTTGTTAATTTTTCAGAGGTTTGGTATATTGCCGGAGGAACGACTGGGTTCTACGGTTAAAGAACAACAAAGCAGAGCACCCAGTGTTGATCTTGGGACTAGTGGACAAATTGAGGCGGCGCCCAACAATTCCGTGCCGGAGGAGGTTACATCTTTACCCATTCCGGCGGCTTCTCAGGCGGTGGCTGCAAAAGTTTCTGTTACAGGTGGCGTTGTTCAGAAGCAAGAAAGCCCTGTTACTAAGGTGGGTTTCTCAGTTCTTCACAATTTTGTTTAACTCTGTTAAAACAAATTTGATCTTTGATAGGAATGTTCTTGCTTTCTTTACTGCCGGAAGTAATTGAATCCGAATTCGAGTTTTCAGGGGTTCAGGAAAATCACAGATGGACTGAGAAGCTGGTTGAGGAACTCCCTCTTCGCCGGTGAAGCCTCAGCCATGGCGACACCCAACAATCCGGGGCTTCCAACGTCCTTTCCTCCACCACGCCGTCCTCCGATTCCGGATCCACCGCCGTTCTGGAGATCCATCTTCAAGCTTCCGCTCATTCGCACAAAACTCCCAGACGTTAGCCTCACCACTTCTTCTCCGGCACCACTTTCAGCGCCCCTTGCACCACGCCCATCAGGAGATCAACTGAGAAGGATAGTAGTACTAACTTGTTTGGACGATTGCCAAAGGCTGAGGTTTCAGTATCAACATCAAAATTTCCGTCCGTCCCTCCTCATCATCCAAGCCGCCGACCCTGATGTAGTGCAATCGATGTATGACGAAGTTCGGGAGCTGGAGATTGATACTCGATTTGGACCCGTATAGAAAGAGAGGAGGACGATTAAGGATATGTTGTAGTTGTTGCATTAGGGGTTTTGCTTTCTTTTCAGTAGTAAAGTTGCCACTCCACTGTAATTCCATTAGGATATCTCTACTGCTTTCCAAATTATAATTTCCATTTGCATCTGCAATCTGCAGTTGGAAAAATCCCAGTATAATTCCATTTGCATTTCACTTTTACCGATAGTAAACTGGAGATAACAAATCCATTTGTTCCTCTTTTCTTCCCTACATTATATTCATCAGATTTAAATGTTTCGACCCAC